AAGTATCAGCAAACTAATTGGGTCGTAGTATTGAGCAAGGGACTTAATACTCTGTACTTCTGTCTATCTGTGCAAATTTCATTTCATTTTCAAAAAAAAGACAACAAACAAAATTTCCTCCTTTTACTGTTCTTGTATATCTGACTCCACAATTCTGTTTTGAAGACTTGGCCAGAGTTGTCCAATAGTTTTAAATATTCAGGAATGTCCCGCCTTGTTGTCCAACCAAGCAGGTGGCTCTACTGCTCTTTAAAGACAGTCTAAAGACTAAATCTCTTTTGCTGTCGATACGAAACATAGAATGAAATGTAATTGGAATGCTGTTCCAAACTGAAATTTGCTGTGGGTCTTTCCACTGCTTCAGAGGAATTAGCATGACTGGTTTAGCAGAATGTATTTTACTGTATGAATGAGCTAGAAATGAGCTTTTCTTAGTAAGCATTTTTGTGCCAAGTGGCTTTTGGGTGACAGGGCATCAGGCAATGTTCAACTAATCAGCCAGCACTCACAGTAAGTCGGATGGAATTAAAGCTTTTCTTATTCTGTGATACACAGATCAGGAGGTGAGTTTGTGGCTGAGTTGTGTCCTGCCTCTTGACAAAATGGGTTAAATGCAGAAGGTTTCATAAGGAAATTTCCACTGGCTTGCTCATGCCAGTGTTACTTAAGAGTAATAGTGTATGTAAATGCATCGAAGTTGACATTTCCCTAGGGGACATGAAGCTTTGCTGTCACTGAGAGGAAAAGCTTTATGAAACCAGAGGAACCTTGAGGATTCATATTAAGTATGAGCCCACATTCCCACTTTTTCTGTGGCTCATAGTTGCCATATGCTGTGTGCTTATTTATGAGGCAACTGCCAGTCTTTGTTACCACAGTTAGAATTGTAAGGCTGTTTGTTGTAAGGCAAAGTGGTCTCTAAAGTAAATTAGAAGGGGAAAAAATGTTACTTTCTCCAGCTTTCTATATACAGCTTAATGTGTACGAAAATACTGGGAACTCTGTGATTCTGTAGGCAAATTGTCCAAATCTCTGCCTGCCTTCTCAGTAGAAGTGAGGCCTAACCTGCATAATACAAGAGAATCGATGTTACCTTCGCCCTGTGAGCTTGCATAGCATGTATGTGTGTGTTGTGGAGTAGCCCAAAATTCAGGAGAAAGTCTGGTCATGGGTCGTCATATCCAAAAACGAAGCTTTCCTAAATCTGAAAACTGTAGGTAGGAAAATGACTGGGAGAAGTTGTGGGAGTGAACCAGGTTTGGATTGCCCTTTTTGCATTAGTACCTTCTATGAGGCGGTGTTTACTTCTGGAGCGTCACTCCTGTTGACAAAGCTGTCTCTTCACATGAGTGCGTTTAAATTGTACCTCACTCTGGGTCCCTTTTATTCTAAGGGTGCAGCATAGATCTGCCAAGATATGATCCCTCAGAATGCTGGCAGATTAGGAGTATGTGTGGCTGTAGAGTATTGAAATACATGTGATTTGTACATTTAAAAAAAAGTGCCCTTGGATTTTTTCAGCCTTCTTGCTCATTGTCTGGTACCAGTTCTACCTACCTGTGGAACAGTCTCTGGCAGTTACTTTCTGTCAGTGTTCACTGGAGTCTAAAACATTGCCTTTGTTGAGTGGTTCAATGAGGTTGAAAAACAGTCAGTTCTTTACAAAATGAACGTGCTTTTGGCAATGCTGAGACTTCTGCTCGTTGTGTAGGTGTGGCTGCTGCAGCCAAAACCTCTTCACTGGAATTCAGTTCATCCAACTCTTTATAGTTTTTCTCTGAAGTCCTTCTTTCTCTCTCTCTCTCTCTCTCTCTCTTTCTCTCTCCCCCTCTCTCACTCTCTCTCTTTTCCTTGTTTCCTCTGTGTGTCTGTGTCTGTGCACAGTGTGTTTTTACTGCCGCAAAGGCACATTTTCAGACCCCTCCTCCTGTGGTGACGGACACCTTGAAGGTCCCAGTGATGGGACTGGCCTTTTCACATCAAGTGAGTTGTCAATAGAATATGCTATACATGGCCAGATATAGTTCTGGCATGACGGAACAAATAAAGGAAAGTACAAATTTGACAGTGTGGAATGTTTGTGCATGGGAAAGGCTGGTGAACCCAAAATGGGCCAGGCACATTACTGAAACTGGCTGCTTAAATGCCTCTGCAGATGAAGGTCTCCCAAAGACAGGACAAGCACCCCTAAATAAACAACAGCTCTTGCAAGGATTGTTAGTGAGAGATACAAGTAGTAAGGCACAGTGCTGAGTGTTTTCTCTTAACAGCCAGTGTCCCTAGAACCTGCACAGTCCTTGGTGCTCCATTCAACTTAGCTAGCCTCACGAGAGTAAAACCTCTGGTCACCATTCAGACCCCCATACATGTTGTCAGCATTGGCACTGCTGGAGTATCACACACAGAGCACTGAAAGAAGTGTTCTTCTTGAGGTCAAGCAAGCTAAAACAGGAAAGTTTTATGTAATCTGACCAGCTAGATTTCTACCTGGGGTGCATAAGGAACTTCTCCTGTGTTTCACTGCATCCAGCACTTCATTCCTAAAGCAATCTCACAAGTGTTAGCTTCCCACTTCTCTTTACCTAGCACATTTATGGGACTCTGTATTCCTTGGCTGAAGCTATTTGAACAGGCCCTGAAGATCAGCTGTTCAAATGTGCAGTGGGAATGGGTTCAAACAGTTCATAGTGCAGTTGCTTTGGGGAAACAAATATTAAATATTATAAACACAATCTCTTTAGTAAGTTGATGATGGCATTGATGCTTTTTCCAGTATGTGAAAGAGGCCTGTAGAGCAGAGCTTCCCTGTGAATGGATGTCAGTCGTGCCTTGCACAGCCTCCTCCTACGTGTGTAGAAAACCAGTTGTGTTTTCTTGTCAAGGCCCAGGCTTAGTGCCTTGCAATAGGAACTTTTTAGAGTAATAACCTTCATTATTGATTACACTGAAAATCTAGCATCCTTCTGCCAGCCTGAAACACTGTACTGTGCCTGACTTTGCCTGTTCCTCCTTCAGTGACTGATGATTATTCCGACTATGGGGCATTCCCCTTCCCCTTCCTCTTTCCTCTCCCTTTGCCCTTCTTGTTTTTTCTTTCTTAGCTTTCCAGCTCTCGTCTTTCCTATCAGCCTGCTGCCCTGGGAGTTGGATCAGCTGACATGGGGTATCCTGTACTCTTTGCTGGTGGCTTGAATGCTGCACACCCTCACCAGGTACTTGTAAAGGGTAGAACAAGTGTCGCTCTTACTGCAACCATTTGTGTCACTTGTACATCTGAGAGAGGCTTTGGAACTAGTGCATGCATTGGTGTCCTGTTTGTCAGGAATGAAAAGAATGTAAGGTAAATATAGAGAAAGCACAAATTGCACAGGAGCTGGGAATTGGCTCCTCAGCATCCCTGCCTTTATTGGGGTAGGGCTTATGTGGAAAAACTGTGCCAGACCTGTTGGCCTGCGCCAGCATGTCACTGGTTCCAAACTTTGGCTGTCTTACAAAGCTGCTGTCCCTGCAGCTGTCCAAGCACAGCCTTGTAGCCTACACATAGGATACACTGACAGTCCATGTTGACATATTTGCATCCATTCATCAGACAAAGAAGCAAAGTTGACAGAAGTATCTTTCTGCCTGTGATGTTCCTGCTACACCAGAGTTTTGCTGACACAACGGTGGCAGAATAGACTGGACCAGACTATTTATGTTAGGTGATTGTTGTAGGTCCTTTCTGTTCCAACTGCCTGACCAATTCAGGGCTGACCAAGTTAAAACATGAGATTAAGGACACTGTCCAAATGCCTCTTAAACACTGACAGGGTTGGGGCATCAACCATCTCTCTAGGAAGTCTGTTCCAGTGTTTGACCAGCCTCTCAGTAAAAGAGATGCTTCCTAATGTCCAGTCTAAACCTCCCCTGGTGCAGCTTTGAACCATGCCCACGCATTCACTGGTATCACTGGATACCAGGGAGAAGAGATCAGCGCCTCCGTCTCCGGGGCCAGAGCTCAGTTATATTTCAAAAAGCACACAGCTTTTAGGCCCAGTATGATGAAACCTGCTCTGTGTTGCACTGTGGTGTTGGCCTGGTTTTGAGATCTCTAACTTGACTGTTCCTCTCTATCTCAGTTGATTGGTCCAGGCAAAGAAGGGGGAGTTCCCCCGATTCCTAGCCAGCCAGCACATGGCACTCAAGCTGACCAAGAGAGGATGTGTACCCCATTGGATGGAGTTCACTACTCAGCAGCTACTCCTTCTAGTAGGTAGGTTGGTTTTAGATGGTCCACCACTTGTGCTAGCCCTTTAATAATACTTTTAAGATAAAATTTTATGTTTTCATCTTTTTATCTATTGTTTGTAGCATAACTACTGTCTCTCAGTCTCCAAAACCAACTAGCAGCTTTCTCTGATTGGAGCTTTTTCAACCTTGATCTTGCCCATCTACTTACACCTGCTAGTCACTGTAACATCCTTGCAACTTCTGTTATGTCAACTTCAAATTGATCTTTTTTTCATCTCTCTATTATTTTTGCTGATTATAAAACAAGATAAAGTAAATTCACAAGTGAGTTTTAAATTCTCCAGATACTTAATGTGAATTGTTACCAGAACTAGTTGTGCTTACTCCAAATCAGTTTACTATTTTCTTAAGAAACTTCAGGCATAAAGTTCCTTAAAAGGAAACAGTGCAGCGTCAAACCATCCTAAATTGCCTCCCTCTCAGCTAATTAAATCCTTTTTTTTTTTTGTCACCATATTTATTTCTTCTGAAGTCTCTTTTGGGGTCACATAGTTCTGAGTCAAGTATCTTAAGCAGAGATTTTGCTATGAGGAAACCAAAACTCATAGTTGCACTAGCACTTTCCTGGATATGCTGGCTAACTTGTCCTCTTGCCAGAAGACTTAAACATTTTTTTTTCTTTTGTTTTAAAGTTCTGACTACTTGTAGTAGGAAAAAAACCCAACAGGTCATAGAAATAATTAATAGCCATGCAGTGAATTAATCATACTGGCAGTGGCTGTTGTGATGTATTAGACCGTTGCCTTTGTAACCTGAGTGACAGATGCAATTCTGGTTCTTGCCCTCACTTCCTGACAGATCTGCGACTACCATAATTGCTGAAAAAATAATAGTGATGGGCAGGAATTGCTGTTGAACATGCACATTCTGAAGTTAAAAGTCCATCTCCAAAAAGAAAAGCCTATTTCAGTTGACAGCAACTTTTTATTCAACCAAACAGTTTTCATCCAGCTTTAAACAAGAATCTGATTCAAGTGTGCCACTCCCCTTTATGTGCTCATGACTGAGGAGAAAGGTGTGGTATGAGCACAGAGATTTCTGTTGTCCTTCCAATACTAGGAGTAAACCCAGAAAAGTGAATGACTCTTGTAAAGCATGTGATTTGTCTATATTTTTTGTGCCATGAGTCACTAATTAATCCATTTTCCTCCCGCAGCGAGGACACAGAAACAGTATCAAACAGCAGCGAAGGGAAGTGTGGCTCCCCCCATGACCTTTTGGAGACCATCTTTATCCGGAAAGTGGGAGCTTTTGTTAACAAACCCATTAACCAGGTAACTAGGAGTAGACCTTCTGAGGGGGCACCATAATATCCTGCTTCTCCCATCTGTTCCTACACAGAGAAGCAAAAAGCACCCTGATGCTAGGGCAACCCTGAAGAATGAGTGTACATATTCCCACCTCCTGCATTTCTCTACAAGGTCTTGTCATAAGCTTGTTTTTCATAAAATCCTTTTGGGATGTGACAGCCATTGAATTTTCCCCACTTTGCCAGCTCCCTATTTGGGTATGAAAGACTTGATACTCCACTTGAGTCTCACAATGATTTGGCACTACCATAGGTTCGTAAACAGGAAGCTGGTAGCAAGCCTCCCTTCCTTGAAAGGCCATGCAGGAGAGCAGCTCATCACTCGTAAGCAAGCATTTAAACTCAGCTAGGGCAGCTTAGAGATCTGCCCAGTTCCTAGGGCTGCTCTTCTAGGCGTTTTGGATGGATGAAGAAAAATTGTTTGAATTTGCAGCAGTTCATTAATCCTTGCCTATATTATACAAGATGTATGTAAGCAATCCTACCTCAGGGTATATTTCTGCATTAGGTCAGCTGAGTACAATCTCTCTATTTTATGCCTTTAAAATGAGGTTGTCAGCCTCCTGCCTAACTGCTGACATGATTTTGGGCAATTTTTAGCAGGCCTGACAAAGTCTTTCAGTATCCTTTTCTGTGTGGGGTAAGCAGAGCATCTTAGTGAAATTCTGTTTGCTGCATCTCCTCAGGTGACCATGGCCAACTTAGACATTCCTTTTGCCATGTTTGCTCCCAAGAATGTTGAGCTGGAAGATAACGACCCCATGGTAAGCCTCTGCCAGAGGTATAATATGTGCCTTCTCGGCATCCCTTATGCACCATCCATGCTGTTCTCTACCTTGAATACACTTTGTTTTTTGAGCAAAGAACTAGTTACTCAGTTTTGTTTGGTTTCAAGAAATCTCCTGTATTGAGTCTTGGGCTCTCGAGACATGCAAACAACAGTGTGTGTTTGCTGCCCCTCCAATAGCATGTGTTTTTTTGTCCAACTTCCTAACTGCCCCCGCACTGTCAAAATGCACAGACAGATGTGATCATAAGATGAGTACTCACCATCTTTGATTTCTTGGGCAGGTCAATCCTCCTGACTCCCCAGAAACTGAATCTCCTCTACAAGGCAGCTTACACTCGGAGGGCTCCAGTGGCAGCAGCACAGGGAACACCCATGATGACTTTGTTATGATTGACTTTGTAAGTGCCCTCACCAGTGCTCTCACGTAACGCTTGCATCTTAGATAGGCTTTAGGTACTGGTACAATTGCAAATGATGTAAGAGTGGTTCTTGGTGGGGGTGGAAAAGACACAATTCATGGTTCCAAACTAGAGCTCAACAGTCCCAAAACTGCAAAGATACTGATACTTGGAACTGACAGCTACAAATTAAATACTCTTTCGGTTCCCTACCCTGGGCTCGGTGTCCTCTTTCTAATGTCTAAAGGAGTCAGATTCCAAGGAAGCGCTCTCTTCTAAGTGCTTAGGCAAGCACAGATCTTGGCTGTTCTTCAGTTATTGCATTAACCTGCATTATTGCAGCAACTGTGGTAATGCCAAGATGTTTACTGATAGCAGGTAATGACTTTACCTGAAATTATGGCAAAAGGAAAGCCAGTGTCTCTGAATGGGAATTAACAGCAGTCTCTTTGATTTTAGAAACCAGCATTTTCAAAAGATGACATTCTTCCAATGGACCTGGGGACATTTTACCGTGAGTTTCAGAACCCCCCTCAACTCAGCAGCCTCTCAATTGACATTGGAGCACAGTCCATGGCAGAGGATTTGGTATGGAAGCCTAAAATTTCTGTTGGTGGGAACCATATGTACTTTATAATGCTCTCCCTGTTCCTAGTTTGAAGAGTCCTATCTTCACAGAATCATAGAATGGTTTGGGTTGGAAGGAACCTTTTAAGGTCATCTAGTTCAACCCCTGTGTAATTAGATTCAACTAGATCAGGTTGCTCAGAGCCCTGTCCAACCTGACCTTGAATGTTTTCAGGGATTGGGCATCTACAGCCTCTCTGGGCAACCTGTTCCAGTGTTTCACCACCTTCATCATAAAAGATTTCTTCCTTATATCTAGTCTGAATCTACCCTCTTTTAGTTTAAAACAGTTACCCCTTGTCCTGTCCCAACAGGCCCTACTAAAAAGTCTGTCCCCATCTTTCTTATAAGCCCCCTTTAAGTACTGGATGTCTGTTCTAAGGTCTCCCTAGAGCTCTCTTTTCTGAACAACCCCAACTCTCTCAGCCTTTCTTCATAGAACGAGTGCTCCAGCTCCCTGATGATTTTTGTGGCCCTCCTCTGGACCTGCTTGAGCAGGTCTATGTCTTTCCTGTACTTCTCATAAGGAAGACCCTGCCCAAAGGGGGCCCTCACTAATATGTTCCAGACAAATGCGCATTAGTTGTGGCACACCCGAGTCTGAAACTGGTGTTTATCTCCAGGCTGAAAGCTGCTGCCACATGCTTGTTGTAGCTGTCATTGAAACCCCCAGAACTAATCCTACCTCTGGCATGTCAGAGTTGGTGGCAAACTAGGCCTGATCTTGTAGCCCAAGCAGAGTTAAATGCTGGTGTGGCTGGTTAAAGTCATGTCTGGGGGTGTGCTGTACTGGGCTTGCAGGCATTGTAACATACTGTGGGGAAAATTGAACACTGAAGGCTGAGCTGCAAGCGAGTGGAAGAAGGCAGTGACATGAGCAGGTTACTGTGCTGCAGTTGGCAGCAGGAGTTGCACAAGGTGAGGCCCCAGTGCACCTACTGTTCCAGCAAAACAAACACGCTCTGGGCAGAGTGCCCTTCTCAGGGTCACTTGCTGGGTGCTGCCAGAGGACTCCTGGTTTTGTGCACGTGGGAAGGGGGGCCCAGAGCAGTGGAGAGGGGTTGCATGACGCAGAAACAGGTTTTTTTTTTTTACCTTAGAGTGTGTGTTTTAAAGCTTCCTTTTATCTGCTGTGAATGAGCCCTGATCTGCATCCTTCTTTACCCTTCCAGGACTCGTTACCAGAGAAGCTGGCAGTCCACGAGAAAAACGTCAAGGAGTTTGATGCCTTTGTAGAAACCTTGCAGTGAAGCTGTTTTCCAGTTTTGCTGTAGCAGTTCTTCCTCCCCAAGGCATCCTGGAGAATGACATCAACAAGTATCTCTATCACCCCTGCTCTGGCATTTGTCTCACTTTGACTAGTTCCTTCCAACAAGTGAGCTTTCTTTGATTGCTCTCTTCAACAGCAGATACAGCTCATCTGCTAATTTTCCTCAACTCTACCACCACATAGTTCTGGACTGCTTTTCCTGCTCACAGTCAGTTTTGAATTTAAGACTTCAGTAGGGACACAGGAAGTCAAACTCCAGTGTATGAACCTTGTTTTCTCCTCGGTCTCTGTTCTGTGTGGAGGGGCTTTGTGAAAAGTTGCCATACGCTTCCTCCAAAGGTCCTATGGTGTACGTTCCCTAGGTTTAGCTTCTTGCCTACAGACTTTTTCCTACGGTCTCTGATCCTGTTAGAGCATAGAAAGCTTTGGCTCATTTCCAGGGTCTGTGAGTTTGGCAGATTCAACAGTTTTGAAGTCCAGGACATCCATTCTGCAGAACAGGGCATTTCATTCTGACTGCAGGGTGAGTGCCTGGAGCCCAGCAAGAGACATCAGCTTTGGGAACTGTGTGATGTAACACAAGTTACCTTGGTTTTCCTGCTTTTAAGGAACTGGGTCTCTCTGCAGTCGTTCTGCGTGAGGCTGCCTGTTGTGCTGGCTGAGAAGCAGGAATGAAACTACAGAAGCGCTTCCCACATTTCCTTCCGGAGTGCACTGACGCTGGGCCATACCGAGTTTACCAGTGTCGACTGTTGGCAAGGCTGCACGTAGCACCTGTGATGATGCTGAATTCATAGTCCCTGCTTCTGTAACTGTAAATAGTAGGAATCCTATTTCTTTAGGGTTATGTAACTAGGAGTCTTAGTCCAAGATTCTGTCCTCTAACCCTTGCAAACCTTCCTGCTTTATGGTTAATAGATTATCTTAAAAATCAAGAAATATTTATTGCTTTTAAAGAAACCTATATTTAAAAGATGTTCTGTTTTCATGTAGTAGTGCGGGTCATTTTGCCCTGGATCACTGCAGACAGCACGTGTGCCATGGAACCCAGGCCAGTGAGACTGGTCTCTCTTTGCTGGAAGATATCCAAGATATTTATTTTCTGAGACAGACTTGATTATTCTAATATAATACTCTGTTTTGGGGACTATGTGTCCATTACATCCAGTCAGGGCCCAGTGATAGAATGAAATGCACACATCAGGGTGGAGTGGCAGGGACCTGATAAAAAGCTGTATTCTGATAGGCATGGATGAATTTGCAGTGTTCTTCAGCCATTCAGAAGGCAGCTTCTTTAAAGAAGCACATTTTTGGGGAGCTTATGGTACTTTTTAGTCAGCTGGCTTTTGATTAGCTGAAATTTTATTTTTGTAATGATCTGGCTATCAACAGTGTGACTGGCTGGCAGTGCTCTGTGGTTGATCTGGCTGTTGCGTGTCTTTTGCCTGGCATAAGGACAGGAGGAGAAACAGTGACACTAAAGAGAAACTTAGAAAAGGCAGGTGGTCTTGTGGTGCTCTCTCCTCCTCCCATGTGTAACTAGGGTGAGCAACTGCAAGTCTCCTTACTGTCCTGAAACACTGGGCTTTTTTTCTTTCTTTCTTCAGAAGTGGGGTTTGTGTTGCCTCAGTACTGAGGAACCATCTTAGTTTCCTTAGAAGGGCTGAGTAACCAGCCTTCGGGTTAGTGCAGTGTGGCAGCTTCTTCAGCTTAGCCGCGTTAACTGAAAGAGCTTGCCAGCAGCTGATGGGGGAACCCCACCTCCTTCCTAAAACACTATTTCTGTGTTCTGCTAGAGCAGATAACCAAGTTCAGAATAGAGCTTATTGTAAGGTCAGAGCAACTCAATGCTTTGAACTTTACCAGCTTTTTTGTCAGGTGATGTGTTTGGTGGGAGGCCATGGGAATATAAACACTTTATTGAAGGAAAGCTACTCACCAGAACCTTTTTAGTTTACTCAACCAATTCAACTTTTCAGCAACCTCATGCAGAAATTACTTAGTCCTTGCAAAATAAGATGCACAAACAGGAAAGCTTCCAAGATAAACAGCTCACAAGACAGCTTAGGTTACACGGGCCAGAGCCACCTTGTTTTACAGGTGGAAAGGGTCACAAAGGGTGCAGGAACACAAGGCATTAATGGCTCAGCTGGCTCTCACCTCTGCTCAGGAGCTTGGTCTCTGCTGCCTTGTAGAAATTAAATCACAGGTGGCTGCTGTCACTTTTAACATACAGGCAGTGCTTGGGGAAGTGATGCAATCTGGGCTGCAAAGCAGCAGTGATGGGGTAGAGTGCTGGTTCATGTTGTATTCATGGAGAACAGATGAGGTTGAACTTCATTGAGCCAGTGCTGCTGTCTTCTCTCCACACTGACGTGCTACAGCATTGGCAGAAAATGTGCCCTTCTTGCTAATCCTGTCCAGAAAGTCCTCGAGCCAACTACTTGTGCTCACTTGTTGATGCAGTTGCTGACAGGGCTACAGCTCCCACATCTCCTAATGCAGCACGTTTTCTTTCTACTGCAGAAGGCTGGAAATTTGCCTGTATAAGCTGCTAGTGTTGAGCTGGATGGCCATAGCAATAAAGAGATTCTCTGGGGGTGAGTTGTGTGCCTCTTTTCTGGACATTCCTTGGTTTCAACATGTAGTTGCTACATCGAGGCTCCCAGTTCCCTGACCACTGCACAAATGCTCTGCTTCAGGCAAGATCTGGCTGCTGCTGTGGCCTGCCACAGATTGTGTTATGAGGGCTGTTTATTTTAGCAGTGATCTGCTCGATTCTATATTAAGGACAGTATGTATGTAGCTGCTGATCTACCGATATTTTGGGTGAAAGGGAAGGCTCCTAAATTGTATTGTTTTGGAAATAGTCTCCAATGTACTTCAAGTATTCAAAGAATTTCCAGTAAAACTTTTATGTAAGCAATGCTCTGTTTTGTGCTTTTCTCTGCTTGTACTGACTGGTCTGGGACAGCCCCAAACTCTCTCTTCCAGAAAGATGGTCAGCAAGCAGCCTGTTAGTGAGTGCAGCCT